CTTTCCTTTTATGCAATCTATGCATTGATCTAAATCTAAAAATTCTAAATGCGAAAGAATTGATTTCTTAATCAATCGCTCTATTCTCCTCCTCGAAATATGACCTAAACGACAGTGCCATAATTTCAAAGATACATCATGCACTCTCTTCCGCTTATTTGTTGTATTCATAGACGAGGAAGCATTCTCATTCTCAGTGCTCACATCATTCACATTCTCAGAAAGTGATAATAAATAAAGTTTGTCTTGTTGGAAGGCAAGACCAACACACTTATTATTAATCACAATCCGACATTTGCCATTACCAAAATGGCAACCATATCCATCATCATCTAATCTTGAAACACTTATCAAGTTTCTACGCAAAGAGGGTACATAAAGAATATCTGAAAGCTGTAGTCTAAAACCATCATCTAATTCTAGAGATAGATCTCCAATGGCTTCAACTTCAGCTTCAACTTCATTTGCAACTTTAATTCTTCTTTCTCCTCTTTGTAGGGTCCTGCTCGTATGGAATCCCTGTAATGAATTTGCAACATAAACAGTTGCATCTGAATCAATCCACCAAGTAGATTTTGCATAACTTAAATACAAGGATTCATCTATGAATGTAATAAAATCCCCTCCTCTCTTCAGAAGGCTCTTCAGGAAGTCTGGATAGTCCCTCTGGTAGTGTTCATGCTTCTTGCACCATTTACACTGATCCTTCTCAACTTGAGCATTGTTGTTCTTCGGATGGTGGTCATTCTGAGGGGCTTTCCTTTGAGGTTTGGCATTCTTATTGAATTTCTTCTTCTTGTTGTCCTTCACAAGGTTAGTAGAGCCATCCTATAAGGATTTCAGCCTCTCCTCTTCTTGAAGGCACATTGCGATGACCTTCTCTATATCTCATTTATCAGGCTGCATGTTGTAATTAACAACAAAAGTTTCATATTCCTTTGGCAAGAAAGCAAAAACCAAATAAATCAGGAACTCATCCTTGAGCCCCAAATTCATTGGCTTCAGCTTCAAAGCCATGTTGCTCATCTTTAGTATGTGCTCTCTGATACCGCCACCAGTATATTTCTCATTGAACAATTTCTTAATCAAAGTACTGGCATAAGCCTTTGAAGAGCCAGTAAACTGACTCTCCACCTTCATAAGATACTCTGTGGCGGTGTCACAATCTGGGATAGACCCTCTTATTGCATCTGAAATTGTGGACTTAGCCACCATCAAGCACTTGCGGTTTGAAATGTCCCGTTTCTTGCGTTGGAGATCATACTTCATCCGCACTTCTGCATGATATCGCTGTCGAGCAGTGAAATCAGCATCAGTCATTTTATCTTCCCTCACCGGGTCCATTGGCTCAGTCGGACACGGGGAGGTAAGCGCTAGGTCATTTTCAAACAGCGCAAGTGCTAGTTCATACTTCTCTTGCCATACCCTGTAGTTGCCCCCTTCAAGAGATGGTATGTGCAAGATAGAAGCCATTGGGTTGAGTCCTGAAAAACACCGTCAGAGATAGTGAGAAAATATGACATCATAATTGCATGCTTTAATTTAACGTTGGTCAAAATTAAAACATACAACATTCTTATACACTAATTCTATATCACCGTTGGGTAGAAATAGAATTACTGCATGGAAAACTTATTAATGAACATTATAATATTGATATTATCAACGTTGGTAAAAAAAACAACATTATAATTTACTAAATAAAATTCACCTGCCCTTCAAATTAAATTCTCCCGTTAGTTCAAATTTAATTAGAAGATAATAAACTTTAACATTGCAGCGGAAACATGAAAAAAATTATTTGTCTACTTTTGAGAAGCATTTCAGTGTGCTAATCTACTCTCTGAAAAAATTATCCCATTGGTTCAAATTTTGACAGAGATTAAAACTGGACAAAAAATCATCAAAATTTGCTTCCGAAAATGAATAAAACAAAAACTCAGTCTATACTGTTCATTTAGCCCAGCCCATTGAAACAGTGCTCGGCCTAGCAGCGAAGTGGCCCAGCCTGCCTCGCGCGCACGCCCGCAGCTCCCTCCTAGGTCGCAACATGGGCCTGGGATGGGAAAGCGGCCTGCCGCTCGCACCCGCCTAAGCCAAAACTCAGCCTGTTCGCTCTGCACCGTCCATCTCAGATCGACGGTTGAGCGCGCTCCTCGGCGGAAGAAAACGGCGCGTTACGTGTCTCCCCCGAACCCTAGGCTCATTCTGTCTCCCTCCCCTTCCTCTCTTAGCGTAGCGAGCAGCAGCCACCGAGCGAGAGCCAAGAGGTGATGGCGCCATTGTCGGCCCCCTCACCGGCGCCCGCGCTCCCCAGCGGGTGAGTGCGCCGCCGTCGAGCGGCCTAGTCGCGGTGCCCTTGGCCAGAGCTCACGCAAGCCCAACAAGCAGCAGCGGCTCGGCCTTTTTCTCGCGCACCGATGAGACGGCAGCGCGGTGCAGCAGCGAGGTAAGTCGTCTCCCAAGCCCTTCCCCTTTCTCCTTCTTCTCTCTGATTGGATCTCGCTATATTCTTCTCGGATCTTGTCTGATTGGGGTTTAGAGTTAGGGTTAGGTACTGTTCTTCTTCCCCGAGCTGTCTACACGGGTTAGGGTTAGGATTCGAGTTCCTTTTCAAAACTGAGACCCTTTCTTACGCCTTTTCTTCACCCGATTTGGGTTTAGGGTTCGATGAACCCTCTGCTTAGATCCGAATCGGATCTATCACCTCCTTCTAATTGCTGCTACTCGGTTTTCTACCCGATAAGCTAGATCTATGCCTAGTTAAGCGACTGATACCATTGATAGAAAATTACAGGATCACTGGCCATAGATCTAGCATACCCACTAACATTTGATGAAGTGTAAACCCTAGAACATAAACTAAAATGAGAAACAGAGAGAAAGAGGGAGAGAGAGAGAGAGGTTGCGGAGGTGTAAACCATCGGCCGCCTTCGTAGAAGATGAGCTGGCCATGAGGTTGCTCGTCGGTGGCATAGTGAAGCTCGGCGGTGAAGGCGCTGTTGCGGTGGCGACGGTGCAGAGGCGGTGGTGGCCGGTGGCAGTCTTCCCATCGCTGGCAGCACCCCCTCTTAGATCGGTTAGGGTTTAGGGACTGTAGGTGGGGCGTCTGACGGCTCAGGTGAACCTCGTGTCTTGTGCCCTGGCCTCAACCTCTGTTTTTATGGCGCTGTGCGACGGGGGCCCACCTACTATGGAGCGGTTGGGCGTCCCCAATCAGGACGCGGATCCAAGGGCCCAATTGGCCGTTGGTTGGAGATCATCTAACAACTTGCAGTGATGAAGCACATGATAGGTGTTCGTGATCTAAGTGCACAGCAAGATTAAGGGGGAGATTGTTGGGTTAATCCAGCTTGTGCACGCGTACGCTGAGTCAGGAGGTCTAGCCAAGTCAGCAGGAAGCGGGAAAGCGAGGATTCAAATCCAGCAAGAGCCGGTGCGCGGTGAGCGCGCCCACGACGTCGCAGAGCAGCAGCAGTTGCGTTGAGAGCGCATTGTATCTCTTTCTTTAGCAGTTTCTTATGTGTGAGTGCTGTGTGCAAGCTATGGTATAAATAGCTGGGTCATTCCACTAGTTAGAGGTTGCTTCATCCATTGTAATCGTGCTTTGTACTCCACATTATCAATAGTGAAAAAGGGCACTGTCTCCCTGTCGACAGTTGCCAGGTTCGTCAGAACTCAGTGTTCTTGCTCGCGTTCATTCATTTGATCTCGCGTTTTTCTTAGGTAGCCACCGATCAAAGCTCGTGATTGTGTTCTTGGCGTCCACACGGAGGAGGTGCAGGAGGCCGCCATCGTCTTCGCGTCGCCCGACGAGGAGTAATAGTCGTGTTCGTTGTTGCGGTTCACCAACACCTAGCGTGGGCCAGCTGCCGTCGAGTCACTCGGGTCAGTTAGGATTTCCATGTTGCCGGAGCTTTTGATATGCATCACGTACGAATTCACGATTCACGACGAATAGAAGTTGATACAATGCTTTTGATCGATCGACTACCTCCATTTATATAGGTCTATATACTCGTCGTCGTTGTTCTCGAGATCGAAACGGAGAAGAAGGCGGCGAGCAACAGCATCTGGATTATGGGCGTTTCCGATACAGCTCGGAATTTGCCTGCAGGTCGGACTCGACTTGGATCAATACACGCAATTCCCTAGCCCATTATTTGTTTTTCTTTCTGAACCACACCACGCACATTTGTTTTTATTGTCCAAAATTCCTGGGATATTAATAATCGACCAATCGCCGAGTCGATTTTACACGCACGAGATGCTTTACCATTATATATTCCGTTCTACACCCAACAGCAGCAGTTTCCGTTGATGATGCCGTTGTTGCAACTTCCGCCCTTGCCGAAGCCCGCACGCAAGCACCAATCGTTACAGCTCGGGTACAAGTTCAAGCACCCTGTGAGCAGATGGACTTGGCATGGATGAAGGCAGTGCTATATATATGCACCGTCCGTGGTACTTCTTGGATGTTTTGGATTGGAAATGGTGAAAGTCGACCTTGGTGGGCGCCTGGTAATTGGTATGGTTCACCCCGTCTATGGGATGAGCTTATATATATAAAACTCTGTGAATGAAATATTTAGCATCCATTGATTTTTACTAAATCTTTGGAAGGGTTTTGTCAAGAGACAGAATGAAATACACTCCTAGACGGAAAGCTATCATGCGTTGTAATTGAATACATTTGCCAATGCTCAATCCTGATCTTTTCTTTGTTGCAAGTAGGTACAGTATTAGTTTGCTGTAATTGTAACCATATTCATATAAATGAAAGAGTAATATGCATCGTACGCCCTTGAACTTGTCTTGGGGTGCCACTTAGATCCACAACTCTCAAATTGTATTTCTGGCACCTTAACGTTGTTTAAGTATGCCACTTGGGTCCATAACTCATCGGAACAACGTTTTGGTCGACGTGGCTTAGACAGCGTGGCGCAAGCGTACGTAAACCGCGCGTTTTCTTATTAAAGAAATAGACCTTTCCTTCTATCTCACGGCACGAACCGGACGTCGCCGCAGGCGGCGCACGCCTCCATGTACCCGAGCTTCCATGAGGGTGCGGCCTCGCACCCCTCCAGGGCACGCCCGAGCTCGCCCGCCTCATGTAGGAAGTGCACGTCCTCGGCGCCGCCAAGGTACTGGCCGTCGATGAACATGAGCGAGAGCGCGGTGCCTGCGAAGCCGGGCCCGAGGAGCTCTGCGAGCTCAGCCTTGAAGACGGCGTGCATGGAGACATCGCGCTCGTCTAGGCACACGCTATAGCTGCACAGGATGCTGCGCACAGCGTAGTAGTCCACGAACATCTTGCGCACGCCGCGGAGGCTCATGAAGTACACCATAGCCTTTCGCTCGCCTCCCGGTGGCCACAGGGGCGACACCAAGGCGATGGGCATGTCCATGTCGGCCTGCATCCACTGCGGCAGCGGCGGCGCCTCCAAGGCGAACTCCTGCGGCGACTCATCGAGTGGCAGACTCTTTTACGTGGCGCGCGGCGTCGGCACGTCGTCCTCGAGCCCCGCCATGAGCTCCCACGCGTTGATCACCTCGGGCTCGTTGGGCGGCGTCAGCGTCGGCGTGTGGAGCTTCAGGGGCGTGGTCATTGTCGCCCTTCATCATCTCCTCCACCGACAGCGTCGCGTGCCTGCACGAGCCGGAGTGACGGGCGCTGCCGGCGAGGCCGAGGGTGCCGAGCATCGACACGGCCCTCAGCCGTAGACGCTGACGGTCGACGGAGGGCAGCGTTCGAGCTCGGGGCCCCTAGCGGCTGCACGGCCGGGCGAGCTCGGCCCTAGCGGCGGGCAGGTGGTGGTGCTGCTGGTGCCCTTGCGCGTGCGCGTGCCATGCTCCTGCCTAAGCGGTTGCGCCACGCCTGAGCACGCTCGACCTCGCCGCATCTGCGCCTGGGGCTGTCGTCGTCGTGCACGGCTTGCACCAAAACTCCCTCCCTCTAAATCTCACGTACGAACAGAGCAACGCACGGACACAGCCACATGGCGGCAGTCGCTTCGGCGAGGTGGCGCTAACATGCCGGGAACAGCCCAGGTAGCTGGACGGGATCACCTAGGATTCAGAAGTATCGTTGGTAGGAGCGGAGATGATACACGGCGAGCTGCCCACGTGCGCGTGACAGGGCGACGGCGCACGAAGGTTGTCCGGGCCGCGTCAGCTCGTCGCCGGCGGGGTCTCAGGCCAATCTACGGCGAGAAGCAGCACTATATGGTTAGGATCAATCGACTGGTTCAAGGAATCGAGCTAACTTCCACCGTAGAGGCTTACCTCCAAGGATGCTCTGTTTCGGTGGCGAGATGACCGGCGGCTCGGAAACTCCGAAATTGGCCGGGGACAGTGAACGGCTGAGGCTTGACGTGGTTTGGATGGCTAGGCAACTTTCATGGATACTCTCTGGTGCGAGGAATTGGGCCGGGAGGCTCGGGGCAGCGCGAATTTGAAAGGCGAAGAGGTGCGGTTTTTCTAAGCTAACCCGGTGGAGACGGCGTCGACTACTCCGGCTCGGTTAAGGCCAATAATGGCCGGAGCAGGGCGTCCACTTGCGAGCAGGCGAGCCAGGCATTGATGGGTCGTCGCGACTCGGTTGGACGAAGGGCGCTGCCTCGGGCGGGTGTGAACGCACGCATGGCGTAGCTCGGCAAAGTCGCGGCGGACGGCAGGGCAGCAGCGCGGCAGCGAGCCAGCGGCAGCGTGCAGCGAGACAGGCGCAGAAGCAGCAGCGCGAGCACGCGCCATAATGGCGCTCGGACGCTCGCCGAGCCGTACGCTGTCCGCCGTCTTTGAAAAGTACAGGAGAAAAGTACAGGGCGTGAGTTGTCGTCCGCTCACCGAGCCGTACGCCGTCTTCGAAGCCGCCTCCGGCCACGCGAAGCCCCGTGGTGAGCTCGCTTTCATCTCCTCTTTCATCCCGTGATTTTACCAAGACAGAATCATGGCCTGTAGGCCCTTCTCTGTGTTCGCCGGCGAGGTTTCGCCTCCGGCAATGGCCGCCGCCGTACCGGCCAGTTGAAAATCAGGCTCACACCCCAAACCAGGCTCATGCGCGGCTCACGTGCGCTTGACACAGTCAACGCCACGCTGTTCACGCCACGTCGGTCAAAACGTGTTTCGATGAGTTATGGACCTAAGTGACATACTTAAACAACATTAGGGTGCCAGAAGTACGATTTGAGAGTTTATGGACCTAAGTAACACCCCAAGACAAATTAAAAGGCCTACGATGCATATTACTCTAAATGAAATCAGGATTATTGATCCTTATATATGGCACCTCTATATAGGGAATCAAATCAGTGCCGATGGTCATGTATGGGGCAGCTGTGGCACGTGTGTATATACAATTATTATCTAACACATATGACTGCAGCATAAATTTAAGAGGTGTTAAAAAAAAATGCCTCTCTCGTGTGTTGGATAGTTGCGCATGTTTACATGTCACGAATCCACGATAGGTGTCCACGGTAGTTCCATGACGACAAACCCCACAGATTTGACGGGTCTTTCCTCGTCCCAATAAACGTGATTAACACAAAAAAAACACCACCGAGTGTCTTCAGCCCACCGTTCCACGGATTATTTTTTCAAGGTATAATCAGTACAACAAAGAACAAGGCTGCAATGTCGACCAATTTATCTTCCTCCTCCAACCCATTATCTGTGTTGTTGACCCCGACAAATAAATTCAATGAGCAAAACTTTCAGCTATGGCTAGCACAAGTCCTCACCACACACTACTATGAATGTGATCTTTACTCATGGTTTAATCCAATTTGTAGAGGCAGTTATCGCAACTGCCTTCATCTAAGGGCCCCTAAAATCAAGAGTTTTTAAGTACTGGGTATATAACCACGCCACTAGAAATTGATTCTTAGAAGCTGGCCACACTTTTTACTGCCCCAAGAAATAAAATTTCTAGAGGCGTCTAGTAACGTGGCCTGCCTCTAAAATTATTTTTGGGCCATAAAATTAGAAAAAAGATCTCTTAATTCTTTGGAGAAGCCCAATAGAAACTATTGCAAGTCACAAGTGGAGTGATTTTTTGTGTGTACGGTTCCTATGATTTGAACACGAAACCGGCTGCCTTGTGCGAGTCCCCTACCACGACACCACACAATCACTTTTAACCAAGTATAGAAATGCTATCCTGGAGTAATGTGGCCTGAGCTTTGCCTCCTTGGTTCCCCTTCCACCTAAGTTTCACCCTTCTCATGAGCTCCTCCTCCCGAGCTTGGCCTCCCTGACGGTCCTCTGCTCGTGCTCCGACTTGCCCGTCACTAGTAGGAGGATCGATGCAAGAGCAAGTGGACGACATGGGAGCACCTAGGGAGAGAGAGAAGAGATGTGGGGCGAGAAGAAAAATAAATAAAAAAAGGAAAAGATATGTTAATAACAGATGAGTCTCACGCGTCATAAGAAAAGTAGGAGCCATAAGAAAAGTAGGAGCCCAGGAGGCTACTTCCGGAGCTGAGCATAGAAATAGTGCACCGAAAAGTAGAAAGAGCTCCCAACTAAAAAATAGAGCCCCTAAGACTAGAGTGTCGGAGTTGCTCAGAGAAAGCATTTTACCGCCTAATCAGTTCTGGACCAAGGAATTGTTGAATACTTGGGTTAAATTCTAGTGGCTAAAAGTACTATATATATATCTATGAGCTTATTTTACTGTGCTTGGAGGTTCCACCCATCCATTTTTATTTTTGGCGTAGGGTTAGTATAGTAATTGGACAATTGGATTTTTTTTCTCCTTACAGTTTCTCCCAGACGTTCCGCTCCTGTCCCCGTCCCCGCCCCAGCTCGTCGACGCTGGCCGCCCCTGCCCCTGCCTGTGGACGCCGTCCGCCCTGCCCCCGCTTCCTTCCCCCCCTCGTAGATGCCGCTCGCCGCCGCTCGTGGACACTGCGGCTCCCTTGAGCGCGCGCCTGGCCGCGCGCCCTTCGGTCGCCAGCAGCTGTGCCCGCCCGCAGCAGCACCGAGCGCCTAGCCCTGCCCAAGAACACATCTACGTGGTGCAGGGAGCAGCCATGGCAGCAGGTGTGCTGGCGTGCCATTGGAAGTTCCTCTTCCTTGGTATGACCATGGCAGCGGCAGAAGCCGAGGGCCGTGGCATGCATAGTGCGGCCCTTTGTCCCTCTGACTCGAGAGGATCTCGTTCCCGGTGGGCGGGCGCAAGCCACCGGCGAGCCCAATCCAGGCTTCCTCGTGCAAGCGGCGAATTAAGAACGAGGATCAGGAACGTCCTAATGTAGAATCTAAGTATTTTAAGGAAAAGATAAAATTAAAGTAGTACAGTTACACCATTCATATTTAATTATCAGTAAAAAGATAAGGTACCTGGTCCACGGGATTTTAGTTCGGGTAAGTTCTTATCATTTGGTTTCTATACCTTCTTAGCCATTAGATCAAAAGGTACGGGCGGCTCTAATTATTCCCAAGCACAGTAAAAAGCTACTATATCTATATATCTTATAGCACTATTCAACATGGCGCCAACCTAAGAGCATCTTTAAGAGTTCTCAATAAAATCTCCCAATCTAGGAGTTTTGGAAAGAATGGAAAAAAACTCATCTCCAACTGTTCTAAATCCCACCTCCCAATCTTTCCATGCTTGAAATAATAGACCGATCGCGCGGATATATCTGTGCGTCTCCCACACGTGTATCCATCGCCCAATCTAAAGGTGGAAGAGCGTGGGAAGATATAAAGAGTTGGAAAGGGTTCCTAATGTAAATGTACAAGAGAGAAAGAATATATAAAAGTGGTTAGGATAATTTAGAAATGGTATAGGATTTCTGATATAAATTTGTCTTCTATATTTTAAAAGTGAATTATTAGAAACTGTTGGAGATGATCATATTTATTCCTCCCAATAAGTTTAGGCGAGTTGAAAAACTGTATGGTTTTGAAAAAAAAAACTTGTTGGAAACTCTTGGAGATGCTCTAACCTTCCAATCTTGCATCCTAAAATTCAACTTTAAAACATAACATAAGCCTTAACCTGTGAATTCGCTACAAAAAAAACATACATACTTACCCCTTTTATGAATTCATTTGGTGTAAGAAACCATTGATTGGAGCAATCATTACGAGGCAAGTAGTAAAGTAAAATTTTGAAAGCAAACTGTAATTGTTCAATTTCACTAAGGACGCATAAATCAAATAGTAATCATTTGAAATCTAAGACAATAACAAATATAGATTGTTAAAAGTATAATTTTAAATTGGTTTGACACAAGGATTTAAAATGAATCTGTAGTGATTTCTTCTATGTCAACCATAGAACCAATGGTCCTGTTCGCTTATCTTATAATCCATCTTTTTCGGCTTGTTTTTTCAGTCGGAACAGTATTTTTCTCTCACAACAAATCAGCCAGAACAGTGTTTCGGTTTGTTTTTT